CTGCACTTAGGGGTAGTTCTGCACCTATTGATAGTTTGTGGTTCCAGATTTCAAACCAGGATCAGCTGTGAGCCGGGTAATCACCTTACTCACCATACTATCTCTTAAGCTTCTCATTTTGGGCATTTCGATACAAATTTATTGTTTTGGTGTTGATGCGAGAGAGATAATACAATGGGAAGGAAATTGCCTTGCACACGACCAACCCTGGTTTGATCCTCTCTGACCCATGTGTTCACCCAGCTCTTGCCAGGAGTGATCCCTGAGTGCAGAGCCAGGAGTAACTCCCCCCAGCACAGGTTGGTGTGGCAAAACAAACCCTCAATTATCTTCCATTACAGTTACTCTGCTGGAGAGAAAGTTGGTCACTTTGGATCAATTGAAATGGATTGCTACACTGCCATTTGGAGTTTATCACTTCAGAAAGATTTTTGTGTATATGTTCATTATTTTATTTTCCTTTTAAATTATTTGTGGGCCATACTCAGCGATGCTCTGGGGTTATTCCTGGCTCTGCACTCGGAAATTACTCCTGGTAATGGCTCATATGACTCAGGGGACCATATGGGATGCTGGAGATCGAACTTGAGTCAGCCACGTGCAAGGCAAGCGCCCTACCCACTGTACTACCACTCTTGCCCATTTTATTTTCCTGCTGTTGAAAAATCCTTGATGCAGTATCTCCATCAAGACAACCCCCCTGGTCCCACAGACACACACATTATGCATATATGTTCCTCACTCTGAAAAGGACTGATGTCCACTATTGAAATGACACGTCTCTACCCACAGTTGTTCTATATTTGCCACATTTTGCACGACACAGGGTGTTGGTTCTCCAGCTGCTCCAGTGTGGTGCTGGGGCCACTTCACACAGACCGGGCGTCCTGCGTGCCAAGCATGCACTCCAGCCCTCTGTGCCATCTTCCGCACCCTCTACCAACAGTTTCCCCCTCCCCCAAGATTTTTTTTATTGAATCAGTGTGAGAGAGACCCTTACAAGACTGTTTATGATTAGGTTTCAGTCATACAATGTTCCAACACCCATCCCTTCACCAACAGTTTTAATAAAAAGAAAGGAAAGGAAATAATATCTCTAATGTAGACTTCTTGTAAATTACTACTCTTCCTCCTGCATTGCTCACACCCTCCCTCTTCTATTGGTTCTATTACCTGTCCTGCTGGGGATGCTGCTCTGACTTCCTGCTCCTCCCTGGGCCGCCCCTCCCCACCTCTGCTCTGTTCCTCTGTTCCCTTGGACAGGCCTAGAGGACGGTGCACCCCTGCTTAGAACACTTAACCGCCTTTACATATAATTCCTGCTCCTGATCTTATTCCCGAAACCAGGGGCAGACCTGGTTTTTACTTCTTGTCTTCTTATGCCACACACACTAATGCTTGGGAGGTTGGTCCTGGCAGTGCCACGCCAACTTGCTGTGCCTGGGTGGAGCCTGTGGGTCCTCGTGCAGAGCAGTCAGAGAGATCTCCCCAACTGGTGTGGTTTCTCCTTACCTGGATGGTCGCTCATTCCAGTCACGCTGAAACGGCTTTAGGAGCTAGAGAGGCATTCTGTGTGGTGTGTTGAGTGCTGGCATTACTTCCAGCAGGTCTTGGTGGAGCTTTTATAGGCCATACTGGCACCCCACACTGCCACTCCCCCAGGGCAGAGGTTTCCAAATTTATTTGGTCTGTTGCCCTTTTATCAGAGAGGAAATTCCTCCTCTGGAAATCTAACCTTTTTAAGTGGAAAGATAGCCCCTCCTACCCCCCACCCCAGTTGTTCTTGAGGCTACTATTACCTGCTCCCTAGACCTTTTCAGGTGAGTGAGCCCAAGTTCTAGCTCCTCACTGGCACCCCAAAAAAAAAAATTTAAAAGGACAAAAGAAAGTCTTTGCAATATACATACTATAGTACTTAATATTGAGTTCAATGTCTTAAAACAGACTAACTACACCAATTACATATACTAGTTGAAGAAGGAGAGCTATCTGCTAGGTTTTTAGTAGACTGTAACAGAGAGACATTACTAATACTTTATCTGCATAAGGTCACTTTTGTTATTTTGAAGGCCTCACCTGGCAGTGCTCAGAGCCTGAGTGTGTCTCTGTGCTCAGGGTTAACTGCCGCTGGAGCTCGAGAAGCACTCTACTTGCTGCACTCTCTCTCTGGGCCTAATGGTAATTTTGGGGTTTTTTTGTTTGTTTGTTTTTGTTTCTGGGCCACACCTGTCAGTGCTCAGGGTTTATTCCTGGCTCTGTGCTCAAGGAGCGTTCCTGGTGGTACTCAGGACCATCCGGGGTGCTAGGGGGATCCAGCGTGGGTCAACTACATTCAAAGCAAGCACCCTACCCTCTGCATTATTTCTCTGGCTCCTTCCCCTCCCTCCCCCCCCCCCATGGTAACTTTTTGTTTTGTTTTTGGGCCATTCCTGGCAGTGCTCTGGAGACCCTGTAAGTGCTGGCATCAGACCTGAGTTTCCTGCGTGCACAGCATGTGCTCAGATCTGTTGAGGTCTCTCTTCAGCCCACAGTGAGTTACAGTGTGTCTATTGCAAGTAGTAGTGAGTGTTTCAGGCAATGGATTGATAACATATCCAAGTCCTGTTATACTAAGTTGGTATTTGTGCATTTGTGAACCTCATCAGGTTAGGAAAGAGATTGCTAAGCAGAAATATTTTATTTATTTTTATTATTATCTTGTTGTTGTTGTTCTTTGGGTCACACCCAGCGATGCTCAGGGTTACTCCAGGCACTGTACTCAGGAATTACTCTTGGCGGTGCTGAGGGACCATATAGGGAATGCCGAAGATTAAACTCCGGGTCGGCTGTATGCAAAACAAATGCCCTACCCGCTCTACTACCACCCCAGAGATCTTTTAAAATTAAATTTTTATTTTATCTTGGTTTTGGTTTTGGGATCACACCCCGCACTTGAAATACTCCTAGCTTAGCACTTAGTAATACTCTTGCTTGGCCATGCTCGAGGGACCCTCATGCTGCGGCTGAGGAGTGGAAATGCCTGACACTCAGGGAAAACTATGACAGCCAGCTTCAGTGCAGATGTTCCACAGTAGGTAGATTTTGGGGAGTGGAGGGGTGGGGTCCCAGCATTGCTGGGGGCCCCCTTGGGAGGCCACCAATACCAGGGATCAAACTCAGGGCCCTGTGTATGCCAGTTATGTGCTCTGGCCTTTTAAACCCAACAGGCAGACCTTTAGGGAAATTGAACTGTGGCTGCCAGGGTTGGGGGGCATGGAGTGGCGTGGTAAGAGGGGTGCAAAAGCACAGGAAGTTCAGAGGGGTGGTTTGAATTCCCTGGCTTATATCTTGTTTGGGGGCGTAATTAAACATATGTTTGCCATACTCACAGAATTGTATTAATACAGGACAACGTATGCAATGTGAAATTACACTTAACGTTTTAACAAGACCCTAAAGTACACGAATACCATTGTACTTTGATTCGAGGCTGGAGTGATAGCACAGTGGGTAGGGCGTTTGCCTTGCGCGCGACTGACCCGGGTTCAATTCCTCCACCCCTCTCGGAGAGCCCGGCAAGCTACCAAGAGTATCTCGCCCCACAGCAAAGCCTGGTATTCGATATGCCAAACACAGTAACAAGTCTCACATTGGAGATGTTACTGAGCCCCTAGAGCAAATTGAAGCTGGAGCAAATTGATGAGCAATGGGAGTGCAGTGCTACTTTGTATTAGATCAGTAAGAGAGATGTCTCCATGTATTTTTACTGTTGTCAAGCTTTTTGGGAAGTTGGTCTGCTAGGCTTTCTCTGATGAAATGAGTAGAGTAACATGTCCTGACCGCTTATGAAGACAAGCGTTGTGTCAGCTGCTAATCTGAGAAGGTCATTTTCTCATTCTGGCTAAGGATGGTGTGCTCCGAAAATAGAAAGTGGCCACAGAAGAAAACAGATGCCGGAGCACTTGTTGTTTGTTTGTTTGTGTTTTAAATCTGTCCTGGAACTTGACCTATAATTGTACACCACCACCATCTTCATCAAGGAGTAATACTACTAAGTATTTATTAGTTGTATTTTTCTCCTTTGGGCAGAAGAGAAATATGTTTTAGATCGGTAAACTAGGACTAAATTAAAAGCTAGGATTCTACCTTTGTCGTATACTCGCTGTATTCCTTGAGGTAAGTTACTTAACCGCTCCTGCTCCCCCTAGTTTCTTTATCTTTACCTGAGGATCCTAAGAGTGGTCGTGAAGACTAAGTGTTAGATAAAGATTAAATGTTGAGAGATTAAACATTAGAAAAGTATCTGATGTTGAGTGAAAGTAAAGTGTAGTTGTGAACTGGCATTGATAGTAGCAGGGAGTATTTATTCTAGTGATTGAACTGAGTAGAGAGAGCAGCAGGGCAAGTGCTGCCTGGGTTGACTCAATACCATATCCCTCCTTCTCTGATCTCACCTCGGTCACCAGGACAAGGCAGAGGTAGTCAATGGAAATACTGGGTTTGTCAGATTAGGGTTGAGGGGGGGCGTGGCTTGTTTTATTGTGTGTCAGGAATCAGACTCAGGACCCCCCACACGCAAGGCAAATGCTCTACCCACTGAGCCATACCCTAACCTTACGTTAGAATTCTGTTGTAGTAGCCAACCCCCTAATTTCCTGTCAGGAGCTGAATTAAATACCAGATACACCACCCACTGCCCCCCCGCCTGGTTTAGGCATTTATAAATGATCTCAGAAATCTGTAGTTTGTCAGCTTGTTCAAAATAGTGCCATAAGTTCTAAGTTGAAGCATGACTTGTGTGTAGCAGATACACACGAGTCCCTGAGGGTCTTTGTGGAAGAAGTGGCATGTGTGGGGGAGCCTCTCATTTCGTGTCCTCCTCACCTTTCCATGGCAGTCATTGAGAGCACACCAAGGTGGCAGCTCAGGGGTGGGGAAATATCTTGTTCTTGGGGGCATTTTATTCCTGGATATTTCTTCTCTGTTCACCAATACTCAGGCAACTCCTTCTCTCCCTTTAGGAGCTCTTGTCACTGGCAAAGCGAAAGCGAAGCGACTCTGAGGAGAAGGAGCCACCAGTGACTCAGCCTGCAGCCTCCTCAGACTCCGAGACGTCTGACAGTGATGATGAGGTGAGTGGGGAGAGGCTAGGCCTCTGCACACAGGGGTGCTCTGAGGGCCCCTGAGTTGGTGACTGCTCCTGCCAGCCGCTTTTCCCTAAATGGAGACCTCTGAGCTAAAGGCCATAGAACTTTCTTCTTTTTTTTTGTAACTCAAGAGATCAAGCCCAGGTGTCCGTACATGCCAGACAAATGCTTCCCCACTGAGCTCCGTGCCAGCTCCCGTAGAACTCCTTAGAGGAGAGAGAAGTGTATGAGTAGTGTAAAGTCCCGGGCAAGGGGTTAGCCAATCAAGCATGCGCCGCAGTCCTTTCCGCCCTCTCCTGCCCCAGCCAGGAGACCAGAAGCTTCCTCTGGGTAGCCGGAATCTTCACTTCCTGTTAGTGATGGCATGGACTTTGCAGCAGGCGAATCCAGCTATTTATTATTAGAACAAGAAAACTTCTTCCACATCACCCAGCACCAAACATAGCCTTTAAAAAAGAATAACCCAGAACCTTAATGGAAAGGAGATGTAAGGAAAGTCCTTCCACGTACCTGTGTATGTGTATCTCCTCTGATTTCAAATCCCTTTTTCACTGGGAGTGATTTCCCAGAGAGAGACCAAACTCCACTTTTCTATTCTCCTGGTACCTTGTAGTTAAAGGGGGGAAGGAGTCTTTTTGAAGGTATGGTACACCAGGGGACCTCACAGGCTGTCCAAGGCATCAATCCCTGCGGCACTCAGGGCCCCTGTAGTGGCAAGGACGGGACTCAGCCGCCTGCATGCAGACCCTGTGCACTGTATTACTGGCCCCAGAGGAGAATATATTCAGCAGTGTATGCATTTTGAAGTTTTGCTAAACTAAAAAAAAAAAAAAAGATTTTATTATTAAAAACATTTAGTTAGCAGCTAAAAAGTATTTACTGGTATTTTGCGTATGCACCTTAGGCATGTTGGCATTCTGATTGACTATACAGTTTTTAATCTTAAATAATTTAATAGGTTTAAAAGTGCTTTTCCACAACAATAGGTAGTTAATACATAGGGATTTTTGGTTGTTGTTCAGTTTAGTTTTTTATTTTGGGTAGAGGGTGGATTTGGGACCACACCTAGTGATGCTGGGGATCAAGCCGGGGTCTGCTGTGCACATGGCAAGTGCCTTATGCTCAGTATTATCTCATCAAGCCTCAGTTTATAGTTTTAAATTTTTAAAAATTGGGGGAAGAACCCAACTATGGATAACTTTGTAAATTTGCATGTTTTTATAAAATAAAACTGGGAGGGGAGAATAAAAATAAAATGTTTAAAAAATTTTGAGGGAGTGGGTTGTTTGAGGCACACCCAGTGGTGCTTTGTGGCTGTTCCCGGGTCATTGCCTACAGTGTTGCTTCTAGCAGTGTTAGGGGGCCACGTGGTGCAGGGGATAAAATCTAGGGTCCCACATGCAGGGTATGTGCTCCAGTCCTATTTTATTTTGAATGGAAAAGCTTAAGCCCCCTCAAATTGATAAAATGATTCAGTCTGGGGCTAGCGCAATAGTATAGTGGGTAAGGCACTTGCCTTGCAGGCAGCTGACCTGGGAGGTCGATCCCCACGCACACCACATGGTCCCTCCAAGTCCTACCACTAGTGATCCTGGAGCATTTGGTGTGGCCCAAAAACCAGAACCAAACAAACAAACAAAAAAAAAACTCAGTCTGCTAGAAAACTGTTGGCTCTATGAAGTAATTTTTTGCTATTTTCATTTTGCTTTCCTACTTTTTAAAAATGCATAGAGGCCGGAGAGATAGCCCAAAAGACTGATGTTGTTTGCAGGTGGAGTGCGGTTGCATTCCTCATTGCGGCATGGTCACCAAACACCACTCAGAGCAGCCCCTGAGCACAGAGCCAAGGAGTCACCCCTGAGCACCACAGGTTGTGGCCCCCAATTTACTTAAATAAAATGCATAAAGAGTACAGGAAAATCTTGAAATAATTGTCTCTCACTATTTCTACATCAACTACCTCTATTTTCCATATTTCAGAGTCAGCCGCTATGGACTTCCTCCCAGTATTCTCTTACATTTGAATCTGGGTTGTGTCTGGACTATCCTGAATCATGTTTGTGGATTTTACAATTCCATGAGAAGCACTATTGATTGGAAGTACTTCATTCTCCTATTTCTGTCACTGGGTCAGAATCCTAAGTATGCAATTACTGTAGGGATACCTTTTTTCTTTTTCTTTTTTTTTTTGTGTGTGGGTAAGTGGGGGGCTGCTGGGACACAAACCAGGGCCTCAAACATGAGAGGCTCATATGGTTCTGCACCACATCCCGACCCCCTCTTTTTCCTTTTTAGCTGCTTCTACCAGGAGGGCAGAGTGTGTGAGCTCCGCAGCAGTAGAAACACCTGAAGTTGGGCAAGAGAAATCCAGTAGGAATCTTTACAACTTAGGGTCCCTTTGTCACTTGCAGCTCCACAGCCATCTAGAAATGTGCACCTTAGAAACCCTTGCAGTGGTTGGAGTGATAGTACAGCTGGTAGAGCACTTGCATTGTACACAGTCACAGTCAACCCGGGTTTCAATCCCCAGTACCCCATATGGTCCCCAGAGCATCATCGTGTGTGACCACCCCCTCAAAAAAAAAAACAACAAAACCTATATAATTCTTTATACACATATTGGAGAAAAAGTTGGCAACACTGTGTGCTTCCCTGTGGTGGAGAGCTGCCCTTCCTTGCCTTCAGGTCCAAGGATCCCAGGAAGCTTGGATCAGCTTTGCCCCAGCATGCCCTCCATGCATGCCCCTCTGGCACAGAACTTTCCAGGCCCTAGCTGTGTTTTCTCTTGGAGGGGGCTTCAACCAGCTGTGCCAGGGTGGGCTGCTGTTCCTGGCTTTACTCAGGCAATGTTTGGGAAACCATATTCATCACCCACCCAGGATTCAAACCAGGATCTCGGCTGCTGCTGTAGCATACAAGGAAGTGCCTTCCCTCCAGTACTGCCTCTCTAGTCCAAGGCCCGAGCTTCTTAAACTGTAGGTTTGCACCCCTTGGAGTCCGTAACTCAATGTGAGGATTGTGAAACATTTCAAACAGTACAGGGTGTTTGACTGTTGGGGGCCAGGGAGAGAGTACAGGGGTTAAGGCACAGGCTCTGAATGTGGTGGACCCTTGGTTCAATCAATCAGATAGCCCTGATGGTACCTGACACTGCAAGACCCGAGCAGTACCACATCCTTGGGCCCTCGCATTGAACCGTAGGAGCCTTCTTCAGAATTGGCCCCCAGGCTCCCTGAACATTGCTGAGTACCCTCCTCACCCCATTAAAAAAATGCAAAATCAGTGTAATGGGTTTCAGTGTTTGTGGCAGCACTCACCCATGTTGTATTTCTGAGGTAAAAGGAGTCTGGAATAGAAAGAGTTAAGAGTCCTGCACTCCATCTCAGCCAGTCAGAAAGGGACCTGCTCTTTGGTCTGCATTATCTACTCTTTGATTTGGACTGCTGACTTAGCACAAAGCACCTCAAAGTCAGTAAATATTATAGTATTACTTAGGACCATTAAGAAAATTGACCCTCAGTTAAAATCTTTTCTTTCTAAATCCTACCATCTGGCACTCTGCAGTATAAGCAGGAGCTGGAACTCAGATTTGTGCCTGCAGGAGAGATATATAGACTGGAGAGGAGCAAACCTTAGAATCAGGTCATATGGGCCCAAGAGATATGATAGAGGGTAAGGCATTTGCCTTGCACATGACTGATTCGGGTTCGATCCCCTGCATCCCATATGGTCCCCTGTGCACTGCCGGGAGTGATTCCTAAGTGCAGGCCAAGAGCATTGCTGGGTGTAGCCTCAAAACAGAACAAAAGAAACCAGGTCAGACACCTTTGCTGTGTTTTAAAAATTTCCCTTTTCTTTTATTGAAAGGGGAGAAACCCTGTTGTGCATACACTTCTTTGTACAGTGCACAGTGCTTGGAACCATGGGGTGCCCGGGATCCCCCAGGGCTCCCTCGCGCAAAGTGTGCACTCCAGCTTTTGAGCTTTCTCCAAACCCTTGTGCTGACTTTTCTCTTCCTCGTGAAAAGTAACTGATCTACATATAACCAACCACTTGCTGGAGTAATTTGTCATGTCTTTATTTCTTCTGTGGCTTCTGTAGCCTCAGGACTTACAAACTTGCCTTACAGAATTGTGTTATATTCTAGAAGGATATAGAATATAAAAGCAGTTCTCGGTGAGATAGGGCCTACTTATGTCTGAAGCAGCTCTTGGTCTTTTTCACATATTCTTCCACTCCTCGTTTGTTTATAGTCATTAGTGAGCAGTGAGTAAAGCAGAAAGGAGGAGGCGGGGTCCCTCAGATTTGCTGGAACAAAACTGTCGTAGGGTCTGAGAGATAGTGAGGCACTTACCTTGCATATAACTGATCTGGGTTCAATCCCTGACACTACATATGGTTCCCCAAACACCACTAGAAGTGATCCAGGAGTAAGCCCTGAGATGAAAAACAAACAAACCCAGAAGACAGATCAAGAACAGCAGAGCTGGGGGGGTGGGGAGGGATGTTGCTGAACAGCGGGGCACCTCCTTTTTGCTGATGGGAGGCCCTCGATTGAGCTCCTGGAGTGGCAAGAAGATAGCTAGCTAATTGATCCAGGACAACTGCAAAATAGAATGCTTCGTTTACTTAGAATCCTGCAACTTAAAAACTAACTTAAAAAGGTTAGAGGCCATCTGGACTCCTATTTTCAATAAGAAAATAGAAGATTCTGGGACTGGAGTGGTAGTACAGTAGGTAGAGTGCTTGCCTTGCACATGGCAGATCTCTGGCACCCCATATGAAGCCCTGAGCACTGCCGTGTGTGACCGCAGAAAAATCAGAAAAAAAGAAAACAGTGGTTTGCAGTTCTGATTTTCTTTTCCCATTGTAATCCCCTGCATTAACGTAGAGTTTTATTTTTCTAAGACACTCTTAAGTGTCTTTTGAATCTGGGTCCTTTGAGTTTCATGCTATGTAATAGATGGTCAAGAGAGTTTTACTTT